CAAGAAAGAAAATGAAATAAAACTAAAAAAAAAACAGAAAAATTAATAGTAAAATAAGTGGAAAGCACGTGATCAATTCTTACAATAATTCTAATACATTTTTTGGCACATTCTAATTTCTGTATTTTTTTATTGTTTTTTGTTTTTGTATGTATGTACAGAGTTTTTCAATTCAAATACTGTTTCTTCAGTAGTATTTCTTTGTAAGTTGTGTACCGACTGTTTGTATGATTGTCTTTTTCGATCAATAACAAATAGTTGAACAGTATTGGTCACAAGGCATGTACCAAAATGAAGATCTAACGACAATTTGATTTATTAAGCAATACAATTTCGACTGTATTCACTTTTATTTTTGCAAAAGACTCAAAAACTGGATCAGTACATGTTGCATATAAAAAGTGAGAAAAATAGCGGTCGATGATATTGTGTGTTTGGAGATGTTTGAATCAATTTCTGACCAAAGTTTGATTCTTATTGTTCGTAATTTTAAATTATATTTGTTGCTGACAAAATCTAATTCGACGAAAATTTTATATAAGTAAGTGGTCTAAATTTTGATGGGGTGCAATTTGGTTTCGTTGCACAATCGCTTCTATTTGTTATTTAAGTTAAAAACCATATTGAAATTGTATGAACTTGGTCTCTTTTATTAGTGTTCCAACAGAAAATTTCGAACAATCCCTTCCCCTAGATTTTTCGTCAATATTTCGTATTATTTACATATGTGAAATTCAATCAAACGACTCATTTTAAGGTTGACTGTGATAAAACTGTGACATTTTAATTATTGAACATTTGCCAATAGCATTTTCACTATTTTACATCAAATTGAATATTGAAATATCCTATATTTTGCATATATATGCTATTTATATAAGCTTACATGTATGTATGTACATTATATATTAGCATGTCGTACATGTTAGAATGTTATGCAATAATAAATATAATAAACCGCATTATGATGAAGAGATTTTTATAATTTGAATGGAAATAAGGAAAAAATTTTAAGTTTTATTTTTCTCTTCATTTTATTTTAGAAACTGAAAATATTGCTTCGCACAGAATACCGTATGTATATAGGTATATTTTGTGTAATTGTATGTTTCATACATATTTATATGTATGTCTTACTCTATACTTATTGCATTATTATTGTAAGTAGAATATTTTATTTTATTGAAATTTCAATTTGATAAATTGAAAGCAGGAAGAGAGTGTAACATAATTTGTAATTTTTATAGTTAGACTCTTTTTTTTTTTTTGCAAAATGATAAATCAATTGAATTTGAAATTGTAATATAGTTGATTTTTGTTATTTTTTTATTAATTTCATTGGGAATATTAAGTGTCCATTTAGCTGACATTTCAAATTAATTGCATTTTTTTTTTAAAAAAAAGGAATATTTAAAAGTAAATAAAATTAAAATAAAAAAAGACATGATAAATTTCATACATAGCAACTAATTATTAAGAAGAAAAACAAAATTGATCGAACCATCAAACGCAACCGATTGACTATACTAGTTTGAATAAGCTGTCATTTGATTGTTGTTTGAAGTCGAGAGGTTTTGCGAATCCAAAAGTAAATTTGAATGAAATCAAGTTAATTATTGTTTATTCTTATTATATTATGTATGCCCTGTTAATTATAATTAACAGGGCATTGAATTATATTTAAGTATAAAGTTTTTATAATGTAAAAGAAATTTTTATTACAAAAATTATAGAATGGCAGTAATTGATTCAGTATTATGACAGATATCAATGTTCAAAAATTCAAAATATAGTCTCTCTTCTATTGTACTAAATTGGTCAACTTAACAAACGAATTTTTCTTACATTTGCAAAAAATTCAAATGCCCCGAAAAATATCATATACCATCTTTCATTGATACAGCCCTGTAAGTTTTTAACATTGCAGTTTTCATTTTAAACGGTTGGGTATAAAATAACATTTTCTTCTTAAACGGCTGGCTATAAAATAACATTTGCAGTACTATGGTAGAAAGATGATTAATATACCAAATTAAAGTTCAGGTTGATAAAGTTGTCAGCTGTTCAAACATAAGAGAAAGCTGTAATGTTACGTAACCTGAAGAATTAGTGTTTTTTAAACTCATGCTTCAATTTTAATGTCATTTGATTCCGAAATCTGAACAGGCTACAACTAATGTAGTTATTAGTAACAAAAAACCGTTGTTGTGAATTTTCGAAATCATATTTAATAAAGCGCCTATTCGACACAGGGGCGGACTTATATTTAAAATTTCAAAAAGGAAATTGCTTGTCAGGCTCTGTAGATCTAAATTTATTGAACTGGGAACAACGTTCCCTTACAAAAGTTTTATCTATTCATGTCAGTCTATACAATGATATAATAGTAGTGCAATTAGATACGAGATAGCGTCTGCATGATTTCTAAAGGCGAAGCCTAAATTTAATAATTAAAAAAAGCATATCGTAGTACGTTAAATTTTTCGATTACTGAATAATTTCGTGAGATCAAGAATTACAGTTAAAATATTTATAATATTCTAAAGTTAGAAGAATTTCTCAAATATAACAGTGTGTGTAGGACATTCTGGAAGACAGAGAGAGAGAGAGAGAGAGAGAGCTTGACGTTTAATCCAATTAAGGTTTTAATGAACACTATAAATTACTTTTCCATTCTAAAGACTTTGTAATATTTTTCATTTATTTTTTGCGCAAAATATTATTGCAATTTTATAAATAAAAAATAAAAGATTAATATATAAATACAATATAATTAAATAAAAAATAATATTAATCATCTTTCGTGAACGTGATGAAATCACTTTTAAACTAAAAATAAGAAAAAAAAATCCTCTTTTCCGCTAAAGTATATTAAGCGCGTTTTATCCAATTAATCATACTGTTTTTCCGCATAATAAAGTTGCCGTACTTTATATGCAATTATTAAATATATATTGAGTAAAACCGGTATCTTATATATATACATATAATATACAATAATATTAGAACACCTGTAGAACATAATCTTATGATTATGATCGGTAATTGAAAAGAAAATCTGTGATTTTAATCATTTTTACCCCTTATATATATTACATTTGCTGACTCTTTTCAAAGTACAATTTTTCTTTTTATTGAACATTTAATTAAATTGATAGGTAAGTATAAAGGTATAAAAGGTATTTTGTGGTATCACGCTTTAAAAATTCCGTTACATGGAATCCTGTATTCCAAAACCTATATAATTTTATAGTTTAATACCCTTGCATAGTTATTAATGAAGGAAATTCTGCAAAAAAAAATGTAATAATAACAGATGGAATTCTTTAATCTTTGAACAAAGTATGTAAAGTGATTCTATAGAAATCCTCAAGAAAAAATTTTAAAAATTTTTGTTGAAATAATCTTTTAACACCAATATCTTAAGAATTTTTTAAACATAGCAAATACACACACCATATAAGAAATTTGTTCAGCTTCTTTAAATTTCACGTAAAATTTTTAATGTAAAAGTGTTAAAATAAAATGCGGTTGCAAATTGTTGTATACACAAGATGCACAGGAATGTATAAAATTGAATTTCTAAAGAGAAATTTTTTTTTGTTGTCTCTTTTCATGTCAAATTTTAATTGAAATTGTGAACTTTTGAGAGTGTTAACAATATTATGGTTTAACATAGCTGTTATGAGAATTTTGACATGAGAAATTATTCGAAAATATTATGATTACATTATTACAATATATTCAGTTTTTAACAAATTTGATTCATTTGGAAATTTTCATTCACTGTTTTACATACTTTTTTCTCATAAGTAATTTAAGTATTGTGTAAATAGAGAACGCCTCTCTCGAAAGTGTTGCAAAATGTGTCCGGACTTCGGAAATTATTTCAAGAAAATTTTGAATTGTTTTCGAAGAACTTTTTATTGGAATTTTTAGCCATTTCGAGAAATAATTTCATACTATAACAAACCGTTTCGGAAGAGAAACCGGAATAAATTTCTCTCTTCCCCTTAAAACAAAGTACTGTTGGATTTTTATTTTGAGATGATGTTGTATAGTTGATCGAATTACTTTTTATTTGAACTGTAGCCATCTAGAGAAATAATTTTATAATCTAACGCGCACCGTCTCGACAGAGAAATTAAAATAAACTTTTCCCATTTCTTGCTATTAATTGGGTTTAATATATAATTATTCTTTAATTAAATAAAATTAAGTTGTCCATGAAATTACCGAAATTTATTTAGGAAAAAGTGGAAAGGTCTCAAAGGTCTAAAATATATTGTTCATTTGTTAAAATGTAAATTAAATTTTAGAATTGTATTATAATTTTTTCCAAAATTGAATGAATTAAAAGAAAATTAGTTAAAATTAAATTGATTAAAAAGGGAAGAGAAATTTCCCTTGAACTTAAATTTGGATTAAGAATTCCCTTAAAATGTGGTTAGTTCACATTGCTTACTAAATTCTCTTGACAAGAACCATAATGTAATCTTTATTGATATTTTGTACTCAATTCTCTTAAAATCATTTTTGTTGTTAATAAAAATTATTGTTGCATCTCATATTTCATCAATGGCTTTTTTTTCATTCACAATATTAAAATTTTGTTTATTATTATTAAAACACACACGTCAAACACTTAAATGAACTTTAACATTTTATTTCATTAATATTGAAATTCTCTTATCATTTCACTTTTATTCACAAAATTCGCACAAAAATATTTCCATTCACTTTTCTTATCTATTCAAATTTTCTCTATTCTCTCACAAATGAATTCTTGTACCATTTTAAGATATTCAATTAATTACCAAACATTTCAATTTTCCATTCTAATTTTTTTTTTGCATACTCATCAAAAAATGAATTTTCATTTATCTCACATCTTTAAACACATAAAAAAAAATTACAAGAAACAAAAAATTGCATATAAATAAAACCATTTATTTTGAAACCACCATCACCAAACAAAAAATCCAAACTTTTAATTTCAGTTTACACAGATCAACCAGTTTCATCTAAATCACCACCAACTCGTGATAAAATTCATCCAGAGACAAAAGCTCAAGTACGAATTCGTAATCGAAATCGAACACCTATTATAACGTCTAAAGATGATAGCGAACCTGGTAAGTTCCAAATCACTATCTATTCTATTTCTTATTCTATTTCTATCTAATCTAAATCTATTCAGTGAGATTATCTATTTAGAACAAGATTCACAATCGTTTTATTACAATATTCACAATTATTGAAATGTTCTCTTATAATTTCAATTAGGAAAATCTTAAGGATAATTTTCAATTATAAATAATATAACAGTTCTTTTTTTTGCCCCTTTCCTTGCAATGCAGGGAAATTTTTTTATGCTTATTCACCTCTCACTAAGCCAGGCAAAAAATTTGTTCGAAAGCAAGTAGTCCCGTAGTTTCGACATGTATAAATTCCTCTTCCGTTTCTAGATATAATTAAATAAAAGCAGTTTCAATTTCCTTCTAGTTAGACTGCCACACTTCAAAGAAACATAGTTCCTACCTATACCACATCAGAAGCCGATTAGTTTGGGTTACGATTTTTGAGATTTGATTTTGCTTTTGTCAACATAATTGTAACTTTATTGTTTATAATTCCATATTTGAAAGTCTCCCATTATAGTAATTTATTTGAATTTAAGAGAAATATTAAAATCTCTTTGATTGTGCGGGTAATCTTTATTAGAATTTAAAATTAAGTACAAAAAATACTAATTCCAATTAATTGGGTAGAAAAAATTAGTTCAGCTTATTTGCTGATTTGTTATAAATTCTGATCTAACAATATTTCTTCCATAAATTCCAAATTCTTCTCTGTAAATGAATCAAATAATTTATTTAACAATATCTTATTCAAGTATTTCTTAATCGTAATATTTAAAAAAAAATGTGTAAAACGCTCCTGGATGCTTTGATTTTTCTCCTGTATACGTTGTCGATATTGATGATCTTTGTTTTTATTTAAAATGTATAGCTGCCGAGATGCGTAAAAAGGCACCTAATTAAAAATTATTATACAGAGAATAAAATAAAAGTTGACTACAAGTCATTCTTAATTAAGAGTACATCATAAGATATATTGCACAGAATATTTATATATAAGAGCAGTTTCTTAAGGATAACCATAAATGGATTAAAAGATAATCTTAGTTGGTAATAAATGGGAATATTTATACGGGTTCTTATAAAAAGGGAGCAAAAAACAAAACAGAGCAAACAAAAATCGGATTGAGAAATCTCAATTCTTTTCGATTCAAAAAAAACTTTTTAAATTTAATATAAGAATCGGAATTAGTTAGTGATTATGAGCGTCTTCTAAGTTGCAATGTAGCATGAGAGTTTTGTATGATAGTTAATTTTTATGTGATAGTAGAATTTTATATTATAATTGTAGAAAGTCCGTGCAGGTTTTCCTGAACCAAGAACATCAATTGTTCGGGAAATACCGAATGTATTACATCTTTGCAATTTATTTAAAAGTTGTTCGGAGTTGAACTTCAAACAAACCAAAATAAATTAGTTAGTATCCAACATGTTCGTTACAGTATCAAGTGTTTCATTTCATGCAACATCTATTAGAGTTTTGGACCTTTGTTTTTCTGACAAAAATTCTGAATTAAAATTTTTTAATGTTAATGTCAAATAAATAGCTCATAGCGCCTATAATTGTCAAATTAACCAGGTAATTGTCAAAAGACTGTTGTTAAAACTGGTATAAATGCAGAAAAAGTCATTCAGCAATTAACACTAATGGCTTCGGTATTAACATTAATGGCTTATAACGCGCTTTCCAGTTCTGTTTCTGACTGAAGAGCAGTATCAACTTCCAAAATGTCAGCTTTCAAGCTTTTTCAAACAAACATTTGCCTCTTTCTGATATTCTTTAAAAAAAGTGTGCGTTACACACTAGAAAAATCAGAATCTTATTTATATCTTAAGAGTAAGTTTCTCATACTTATATGTATATATAATATAAATAAATTCCATTGATCTAGATTTAAGATGAAAATCAGTATACGGCAAAATATACTTTTTATTCCTTGTACTCGTACCACAAAAGTATTTCTCCATTATAGTTTTTTTTTTGTTCATTTTCATGCCATTTTTATTATTTTTCTTTACCATTTTTGATCATATAGATGAATTGCACTGAATTCAAAGATTTACTTAAAATCAATATTTCAAAGGGCTTAAATTGGAAAATATACAAGTATTTTTTAGAATTTTACAATATTTTATTGAGAGTTTTCAAGGAAAAAAGGGAAATATACCGTCTCTTAAGTGGGTGCGTATAGAATAAAAATTTACTTTTGAATTAGGAAAGTTACAATATAAAAATATTACCAATTTCATTAAATAATTCAATATCGGAAAAAAAGAAATCACAGGCAAACACAAAGAAAGGATAATTTAAGTTTGATAAACAAATTATAAAACTTTATAATAGAGATTTTGTAAAAAAACCAAATTTATTTTATTATTGTCCCTTCATTTAATTTAAATTTATAAAAACTTCTTAAAAAAACTGGAAATTTAATTTTCAAATAAGATTTAAGGAAATATTAAAATGCTTAAGATTTTTATGTAAATTTAGTATAGGACGGGAGAAATATTAATTAAAATAATCGTAATTTACCCACAAATATCTCAAAGCAATTTTAATTACCCACAAATGTCTCACAGCCATTTTAATTACCCACAAATCTCCCACATCCATTTTCTATGGTAGTAAAAAGGAATTAAATGAAATAATGCGGATTTAAAAGACTTTGAAATTTTCAAAAATACTTAAATAATATGGGTTCAAAAATTCGAAGAACAAAATGTACAGAGTATAAAAATTTTCGCACAGAGCTATGCACTTTTTTTTTCTTTTCTGGAACTTTAGGCCCTTCCCACGTTGATACATAGGATCTTTTGTGATTCTCATCCCTATCTACATTAGTCCTGACAAACCGCAGTATAGCAGCCACATCAAGCCCCGAGATCTTTTACACAAAGTCTCTCGAAGCGTCCCAGTCGCAGGCGAGAAACTGCCTCGCACTCACACAATAAATGTTCATAATGAGCTATACACTTAATCAACAATATAAAATTTTACTTGAACTTTTTATAAAAAATTAATTGAACTTTTAATTTTTAATTTATGTGTTGCATTTATATACAAAATCACACACTTTAAAATTCTACAAAATCTACAATGCGGAAAAAATCTTTTAAAAATTAAAAAAAAATTATTTTGCAAAAATAAAAATTATAACATTATTAAAACCTCCCCCATTTCATTTCAATTTCATTTTATAATATTAAATTTTAATTAAAATATTTTAAAAATTTTATTCTAATATCGCATGTAATATTCATATTTTATTTTTGATGTCTAAAAGAATAAAAAATATCGCGTGATTTTCTTTAATAATGAATTTAATTTTATTATATAAAAATACAATAAATAAAATAAAATATTAATATTAATTTTTTAATTTAAATTTTATAATAATAAAATTTTATTTAATACACGGCAATTCATACAATTTGTATTATTTATGTATGCTCTTATAAAATATAAATAGGTTTGTGTACAACATAAATGTTATGTAACAATGAAATGACGACTTAAAATTCTCTATTTAGTTTAATCTCAAATTCACTATAGTGAAAAATATTAATATTCATTTCTCTTAAATTGTTAATTGAGAGTTAAGGTTTATTAACACAACACTAGAAATTAATTTTGTACTGTTGTATTGTAATTAATTGTAAATTGAGAATTCAAATGTTATCTTTATCTAATATTCTGAACTTTACTGTAAGGAAACACTATATCAGTTTATTTATTTATAATTATGAATTTTTAATTACGCCTGCTATCAACACAGCAGATAGGCTCAATTTACATTATTTGAATTCGTTAACAAGATTTTATGCAATATTCTAATTCAGAATATTTAATAAATAATTAAAAATATTCATGTAACATTATAAATTTTTTGCGATTTTAATAAATTTGATTAATTTTTGAATATGAATTTAAACCCTCCTTTCTTAATATTTCTATGCTACAGGAAATTTTAATTGATTTATAAAATGCACATGTATATTAAAAATATTTTCAATTGTTGACAAAAAATTTTGATTATATTAGCAAGTATATGAGGATTTTCTAATGATGATTTAAAAATAAAACTGTGTGTAAGTTTAGTATGTCCGATTCGAAATCTGGTTATAATACTTGAATCTTATACTTCTTGAAAGGGAATTGATTTTTGATTTATTTCAAGGTTTTGTACTGAAGTTTAACGGTTTTCAATTTGTTATTATTGATATTACCCTCTATATATTCGTCATATATCAGTTTAAAAGAGTTTCATCAAACTAATATGTAAACAACAACAAACAACGTTTTACAACATTAAATTAATGTGAGAGAGATTTTTATCAAATTTAAATATTTTCTCTTTCAAAAGATTTTATTATTTACTCAATTCCTGTTAAGAGTAATTAATTTTCAATATTCTATGGGTTTAATCGAATTATTACTGATAATTAAGGTAACCATATAACTAAAATTTTTAATTTTAAAAATAAATAAAAATTTGTTATTAATTTTTATAAAATTATTCTAAATTTGTAAGTACACAAATAACTACTGTATAACATTCATAAAATTCAACAGTTGCACTTTTTATTTTTTTAAAATTATTTTTTTTTTCTATTAATTTTCATCAAAATTAGCATTCAAGAATTAATTGGCTTTCCTTTTTTATGCAATTCAACTCTCTATTTGGTTTTGTTTTTTGTTTTTTTTTTTGTTTCAATTCTAAATAAATAAAATGTAAATTACATGCATTTTATAGTTAGAAAATAAATAAAAATTAACTTTGTTATATTTTAGAATAATAAAGTTTAAGTAAAATATAACGAGTAGGCATTGCATAGTATAGATATTGCGATATTGTTATACATAATTGAAATAGTAGATATAGGTTCTGCAAATGATAGTAAAAGTACATGGATTTAAAACTAACAAGTTTTAATAAATAAGGTATGAAAATAACAATAAATAATAATAAAATAATAGTTACCAATTAGAGAAA